CACAATTTATATTACGTAGCATAGCAAAGTGACGAACAGTTGATAATGGTTACTGTATGGTTGAGTTTATCAAATGGCACTAAAGTTGCTGGAAACTACTGACGAAAGCCACCTCCTGGGAGTTTACATGTAGACTCGAAATGATATTAGAGTTTGAAATTGGTCAACCGTCGAACATAAATATAGTTTTTGAACAGACTTAAGTAGGACGTATTCAGATCGTCGTTTGACCAAGTAGGCCATAGATTAAGCTGAAGTTTATCGAACGCAAAAAATTAAGCTTTATAAGCTTATATTACAATAGTACAAACTTACGTTTTACAAATGCTAAACGAACGCTACCAAAATACCATGTACCACAAGAATATACAGACAGGTCCATCCTAAAAATATAAAGTTTTTTTCACAAAACTCTAATGGGCAAGTACGCAATCGAACACTGTGAGGACAGCAAAAACAACATCTCAATCACCGTTGCACCAAAGGAAGCCCAACGTCTTGACTGCGCACACTCAAACAATTTCGCGCCTTTTGAGTTTGGAGCTCTTGAAAGTCGGTAAGTCCAGTAGCATTCTGCGACATTTTTTGCAAATTTCGTTATAAATCCTATTTCAATATAGATATGGTGATCATAAGACTTTTGAAGAGCAGTATACTTCCCTCTTTTGTTCGTTCTAGAATGATTAATCATTCTCTTTTTGTCACGTCTCGATCTTTTCTTCTCAGTATTGACAAGATGTATTCACAAGCCGTCAAAGGTAATAAGTTATGTTTTATCGTTAAAGTCCTCATTGATGTCCCTTAATTTGGGCAAGGTTATTAAATAATTTACTGTCACTCATTGCAAATAACTCTATCATTAATAATAATTTGTAATCTTTCACCTTCAGCTTAAACTCTTTCATCAATACTTTTTTTATGACCCTTTGATTGCAAACAAAACTTCAATGGTGTTTGTCTTTTTTGTGCAGGAAAAAGCATGGGAAATGGTAAGTACTTAGATAGGGGCCTATTAAGGGTTGGCGGTTTCTGACCATTAACTAAGGTCCATGGGTAGTTTCGGTAGTTTGCTCTCCTTTTTGAGGCGTGAAGACTTAACACGATTTGCGGATTTGCCGATTTCGGTTTCAATGAACTTGTATGTGCGGATTTGCGGAGATTTCTGCAAAATCTTACAATAGGGACAAACTGTTAACTTTTGATAAATCTTCAAAGTTTGGATGGCCTTAATATTCAATCTCCTTAACAATTATTTTGTTGAATGTAATACTACTATTATCTGGAATATTAATTCGTGTTTTTGTTTGTAAAAAAATAGACAATGGGTCAAGGAACAAGAGTAAGTAGAGGCAGAATGATGATCAAATATCAACAACATCCAATATTGTAGAGTTAAACATTTGTACTGTCGTTTAATATTATCAAGTGTTGATTATCCGGAATATTAATTCATGTTTTTGTTTGTAATCTGAAAATAGAAGACAGTTCTGTTGGCAATGGTAAGTAAGAACATTATAATTATGTTCTGT